CCAGCGGTATTGTCCACTTCCCGGACCCTGCCAACACCTCGCTCCAGGCAGCAGCTGCTAATCCCAGAAGCCATCAGATCACACCTGCAACAAGTCTCACAGACACCTGCAGAACCTGCAGTGCCAGCCTGACCCAGCCACCATCCCACTAAGGACACAGCCCCAAACCAGCTAGGGTCTCGTGCAGCTGCAAACAGTCCTGGGCCAGGACAGAAACCCAGCTTGCCTGGCAGTGCTGAGCCAACCTTAGAGACTCCTTGCCCTGGAGCCAGTGCTCTGACCAGTAATGGTCTCAGCAGATAAAGCGCTTCGGGAGCCCCTCATCCCCACAATGAGCTTTATCTTTCATACTCACAGAATCATAGAGTTGGCAGAGACTTGGGGAGGTCATCAAGTCCAAATCATCCCCACAAAGTTTTCCTTGTAAATGGAAAACAAAACAAATCCTAGAACTGTCAATCAGCAGCAGCCAATGAACAGGGAGCAGATTTGCATGAAGGAGCCAGTCTCGTGCTGTGGGTTTTTTAAAAGCAATTCAAAGGGTCCCAGCCACAGACCTGTTTGGCTCAGTGAACCGAGCTCATCTGGATCCACCATGGCCTGGGACCCTCTGCTCCTCACCCTGCTCACCTACTGCTCAGGTTTGGGGGAGGGGGCTTTTCTCAGTATTTCAGTCACAGGGGCCTTTGATTTGAAACTCATTCCTCCCAGTGGTTCCCCAGGATGCCGGCAGTGACAAAGGGTCCCAGCCACAGACCTGTTTGGCTCAGTGAACCGAGCTCATCTGGATCCACCATGGCCTGGGACCCTCTGCTCCTCACCCTGCTCACCTACTGCTCAGGTTTGGGGGAGGGGGCTTTTCTCAGTATTTCAGTCACAGGGGCCTTTGATTTGAAACTCATTCCTCCCAGTGGTTCCCCAGGATGCCGGCAGTGAGCTCTAATCATGATTTTACCTGGGTTTTCTTCTTTTTTTGCAGGTTCTCTTGCCCAGTACGTGTTGACCCAGCCACCTTCAGTGTCAGTGTCTCCAGGGCAAAATGCTCAGCTCACCTGCACAGGAGAAAAGTTTGACAAATACTATGTGTACTGGTACCAACAGAAACCTGGCCAGGCCCCCCAACTCGTCATATATAAGGATAGTGAGAGACCCTCTGGAATCCCTGAGCGATTTTCTGGGGCCAGCTCTGGGAAAACGGCCACATTAACCATCACTGGGGTCCAGGCGCAGGATGAGGCTGATTATTACTGTATGGTTTGGGACAAAGATAATAGCTCTCACACAGTGACATAGCCTAATGGGGAAGTGAGACACAAACTGCCTGTTGACATGGGGGGATCGGTTATTCATTGCTTTGTGATTTTTCAAAGATAATAGCCAATGGCTCTGCAATCACATTAGCCAATTCCCTCAATAACCTCATATGCATTATATCTGGCCCCATGCATTTGTGTATGTCCAGCTTTTTTAATAATTCTTAGTCTGTTTTTTCTCCACCAAGGGCTGCCCACTCCCTCTGTACTGTGTTGCCTAGTGCAGTAGTTTGGGACCTGACCTTGCCTGTGAAGATAGAGGCAAAAAAAAAAGCATTGAATATTTCAGCTTTTCCCACATCACCTGTCACTAAGTTACCTCCCTCATCCACTGAGGGACCCACAACTTCACTGACCACCTTCTTATTGCTAACATGCCTATAGAAACCTTACTTGTTATGCTTCATGTCTCTTGCTAGCTGCAAATTCAATTGTGCTTTGGCATCAATGATATATTGCTTTCTGCATGCTCTAGCGGGTTACAGGTCCAAGTTTCCACTTCTTTTAAGCTTCCTTTTTGTGTTTAAGTTCACCAGGGATTTCACTTTTAAGCTAAGGTGGTTGCCAAACTAATATATATATTAGTGCACATTGGGAAGGTTTGGTCTTACAACTTCAATAAGGCTGCTTTAAAATACAGCCAGCTCTCCTGGACTCCGTTCCCCTTTTTGTTAGTATCCCAGGGGAACCTGCCCATCAGTTCCCTGAGAGTCGAGGGCTGCTTTTCTGAAGTCCAAAGTCTGTAGTTTGCTGCTCTCCTTTCTTGCTTTGGTCAGGATCCTGAACTCAACCATCTCATCATCACTGCTTCCCAGGTTGCCACCCACATTTACTTCCCCTGCTAATTTCTTCCTCTTTGTGAGAAGCAGGTGAAGCTGCACATGGCCCCTAGTTGAATCCTTCAGCACTAGTAACAGGAAGTTATACCCAACATTCTCCAGAAACTTCCTGGATTGTCTGTGTATTGCTGTATTGGTCTCCCAACTGATGTCAGGATGATTAAAGTCCCTGTGTTAGAGAAGATACAGGCCACTGCTGAGAGGGAACATGGGATCTACTTTATTGTCCACGAATGTTTACATCGGACATTCAGCACAACATCCAAGTGGCAATAAATTGGTACAATTACACCCTTTTATCTATTTTAGTATGTTAATTCATGCAGCTATCACTACTTTCCCCAAAAATCTTATTTAGTAAACATGTGTAGGCAATAAAGCACTTCCATTTATCCTATCTTCCCCTAGGTTGCCTGTTTCTGAATTCTAGCTCCAGGTAAGCAGAATACGTCTCAGGATTCCTGTTCTGAATAGCAAATGTATGATGCCACTGTCCCTTTTAGGAGAGAGTCCCTGACTGGCACTACCCATCTCCTTCTCTTGAGAGTGGTGGTCATGGAACCCCCATCCCTGGGACTGTGCATCCCATGTCTTCTGATCAATGGGGTCTCCATCAGATCCCTTCCCTCAGAGGTCTCTGCTAAAGTGTTTTCCACTGTGGTACCAGTGCAGAGAGCCTCAAAGCTGTTACTTACCTCTGTTGGGATTGGCGATATCTGATATTCTTCTTTTCTAGGTCACATGCTGCCAATTTTCTTTTCTGTTCTGCACTGCTCTCAGTGGTTCTTCAGCATCCTGTGTCTGGAGTAAGAAATGCTGCCTTCTATCCAGAAAGTCTTCACCATCTCTGGTGGAATGCAAGGTTCATACTTTGGCCTTCTTGCAGGGCCAGGGCAGGGGGAAAGAAGATTCATGCAGCAACCCCGCCCCCAGGCCCTGATTGACCTGAGGGCGGAGGAGCTCTCAAAGCCCCCTCCGCTCTTCTGCTCCCCCCGCCCTGTGAGCAGTGCACAGTGCTTCAAAGCACCATGTACTCCTGGCAGGGTGGAGAAGTCTTGGCGTGCTCCCCAGCCCTCAGACCTAAATTGGCCTGGGGGCGGGAAAGCAACAGGCCTCCATGGGCCAGATCCATCCACTTGGCAGCCAGATCCGGCCTGCGGAGGTCCTTTTGCCTACCCCTGATATAAAGGATGACAGTTCTCATGAGCAATCCAGAGTGGAGGACTAGGCAGAGAGGCCAAACACCTGTGGCACATCATTGGATTTTAAAGTGAGCAGGCAGATCACTGTTGCTCCCACTGGGGATGTTTGCTCCAAGTTCTGTACAAAGTGGGCCATGTGAGGTGTCAAATGAAAGCTTATCATCTGCAGATTCCATGTCTGCTACTCGCATACTTGTATGAGTTTGGTATGTGAAGTGATGCATATGGGCTCTGTGCTTGTATTTTAAATTTTGTCTGTCTGGGAAGGAGCAATGGCTCTGGCCTCCCTATTGTTATGAAGGGTTATTCAGTGAATGCTTGTGGTAATCAGTGATGTTTCACAGACAATGGCTCTCACAGTGGTCAACACACACCTCAGGAATGTGTCTGGAAGACTGCAGACCAGCCAGTGCCTCATAGCTAGGTGCATGGCAACTTGCATGTGAAATACAGACAGTCACTTGATCATGTGACCAGCTCCAGTTTGGGAGACACCAGGGATATAAAAATCCCAGGAAGGCATCTCCGTCTTGTTGTCAGTCCTGTTGCTGATTCCAGATAAATCCTTGATAGGGACAGAGACCCAGGAAGGATTCGCTGACCTGTCCTGATACAGAATGTACACCAGAGACCTTTAAGCTTGTAGTTCCTACCCTCTCTGCTAAGAGCCTGAGTCAGTCACTTGGTGTTTGATGGTTGTAATGTGTTCTCTTTACCATTCTCACCCTCAATCCTTTTCTTCCTTTTATCAATGAACCTTTAGATGTCAGATGCCAAGGATTGGCCCAGCATGTTCTTCTGGGTTCGATCTCGAGGCATAAATTGACCGGAGGCTGTGGCTAGCCTTTTGAGACTGAGAGAACTGGTTTGGAGTTGGTGAGATTGGGATAATAACCTCTCGTCTGTGTGTAAGGTCTGGGCCTGATTGTGACACAGGGAAACCTAGGAGTGTCTGACGCATGTTGCTTGTGATGTTTCCTGCTGGCTAGATTGGCAGCCGAAGTGCTCTGTGTGAGTGGTTTGTTGCCTGTGTAGAAATGGACTTCAGTCTTGAACTGTCAGTAGCCTGTTTTTGAGCAATTTTCCATTAGTGGTGCCCAGATATGGACTGGTAATATAACAACCTCCCCCACACCACCAGCCCCACCAAGTTCCATGACAGCTGAACTTCTCCCTTCTCACTCTGACCTGCTGTGGACTAGAATAAATACTGCAGCAGCCCCAGGGGTTCCCTACTTGTGCCTCCAGACTGAGAATTGTTCAGCAATGGCACAGAGCCCTTTATGGGGGGTCGTGTCCCATAGGAAGCTTTGCTGACAGATGCACGGGCCACAGACTGGGGCATACAAAAGGGAAAAGCTGCTCTCAGTGGATATTTGTACAAATCTGAATTCTGCTGGTATGCAGGTGCTCTGTTTCCATGGAACTTTTGGCACTGACATGACAAGAGAGAAAACTTCATCATGGCCATTGCATCTGCCAATATCGTGGCTAATCTCCCCCAGAGCTGGGAGGAAGCTGATGACTTGCTCACCCTGCATCACACAGAGAAGGAGACCAGCCCCTGAAGGAGCAGCTGGGGTGTGCACAGTGACTGTGAAGTGACGCTGCTCCACAGCCATGCAGAGGAACAGCCCCAGGCTGTGTGTGACACTGACCACTAGGAGGAGCTGATCATCCACAGCCCATAGGATGCCCAGTAGGGTTTGCAGTTTCCGGTGACCCGTTGGCAGCTGCTGAGGTTTCAAACCCTGACAGCTCTCACACGGCTGGTAGGAATGAGGTTCCCTGGGGCCTTCTGCTTTGGGGACCCAGCTCTAAATCCGGCCCCTTCTCACCTCCCTGTTCCATGTTCTCCAGGGCAGAGGCTCCCACCTGGAGGATGATGAAACCCCCAAACCTGAGGGCAGGGAGGGAAAAGCCCTGCAGCTGCCAACACCTGCAGCCCCACCCCTGCCTGGCTTCCCCCTCCCCCAGTCACTCCATGCTCTGCCCTGGGGGAGCCCGTGTAAGGGGGATGATCAGCTGACCCCTGCTCCCCTGCTGGCCCCACGACTCACAGGACCAGCCAGCTCCTCGCTCTCCTGAAATGGGGCTGGCCAGAGTCAAAAGATCAGGTGAAAGGAGGCAGCTGGAAGAGCCACCCCAGCCTCCCGCCCATATCCCAGCGCCAGAGACCAGGGGAGGTGACTGCAGGGATTGTGGGTTGGGGCCACAACAACAAATCTCAGCTGGTTTGTTACCCCAGGGGCAGGCAGGTGGATGCTCGGCACCATGAAATAAGGGGTGTGGCCGGTTGTGCAGCCTGAGAGTCCTCAGCTCCAGGGGTCTCTACTGTCCCCTGGCAAAGGGAAACCCAAAGCATTGCTCTTACCCCAGTTACAATGGGGCTTTATACAGACAGCTGCCCCTTCCCTCTCTGTTCCTGTACTCCACAAGGGGGCTGAGGGTGTCCTAAGGCATGGGCAGCCAATCAGTGGCAAGCAGATTTGCATGAAGGGGCCATTCCCCAGTGCTGGTGTTTTAAGGGGGAATCGGAGGGTCCCAGCCACAGACCCATTTGCCTCAGGGAGCCGAGCTCATCTGGATCCACCATGGCCTGGGCCCCCCTGCTCCTCACCCTGCTCACCTACTGCTCGGGTGCGGTAACCCAAAAAGATTTTAATCCAAAAAGATTTTCCCTTCCCCAGCTGCCTGTGCTGGCTGCCTGCAGAGTGAGCTCTCTCTCCGCACAGCAATGAAACAGCAAATTGATCCCTCTGTTTTCTCCTCTTTTCCCAGGTTCTCTGGCCCAGTACGTGCTGACTCAGCCGCCCTCAGTGTCTGTGTCTCCAGGGCAAAACGCTCAACTCACCTGCTCCGGGAACAACATTGGTAGCAAGTATGTGTACTGGTACCAACAGAAACCTGGCAGCGCCCCCCTACTCGTGATATATCAG